AGCCAAGAAGGAGCACGACAGAAACAACGCTTCCCCAGCCATTTTCCCCGAGTATCAACTTTGGGAAGACCACTGGATTCGGTACGTTGGTTCGCCTGATGCACCTGCTGAATGAATGAATGAATCAAGCGGAAGAAAACAAGGCCTCTCTCGTGTCTTGAAATTTTTAATATGATTCAGAAAATAACCAGCTACTGCTTTTCTGTTTCCAAGGCCTCATTCCCTCCCATAACATCATTTATCACGCACCTGCTTTTCCTTGCCTTATCTTTAAACCTCACTTTAGCTTTAAGCTTCTGCATGCTCTGTCTCTGCAATTTCAAGTCCCTTGATCTAGACCAGGCATGGGCCAACTCGGGCCCTCCAGGTGTTTTGGACTTTAACTCTCACAATTCCTACCAGCTGTTAGGAATTGTGACAGTTGAAGTCCAAAACACCTGGAGGGCCCAAGTTGGCCCTTGTCTGATATAGATAGCTAGCTACTTTAAAATGGCTCTTCATTAACCAGCTGCTGCCTTTCTGTTTCCAAGGCCTCATTCCCTCCCATAACATCATTTATCACGCGCCTGCTTTTCCTTGCCTTACGGCTGTTAGGAATTGTGGGAGTTGAAGTCCGAAACACCTGGAGGGCCCAAGTTGGCCCTTGCCTGATATAGATAGATAGCTACTTTAAAATGGCTCTTCAGTAACCAGCTGCTGCCTTTCTGTTTCCAAGGCCTCATTCCCTCCCATAACATCATTTGTCACGCGCCTGCTTTTCCTTGCCTTARGGCTATTAGGAATTGTGAGAGTTGAAGTCCAAAAACACCTGGAGGGTCCAAGTTGGCCCTTGTCTGATATAGATAGATAGCTACTTTAAAATGGCTCTTCATTAACCAGCTGCTGCCTTTCTGTTTCCAAGGTCTCATTCCCTCCCATAACATCATTTATCACACACCTGCTTTTCCTTGCCTTATCWTTAAACCTCGCCTTATCTTTAAGCCTCTGCATGCTTTGTCTCTYGAATTTCAAGTCCCTTGACCTAGACCAGGCATGGGCCAACTTGGGCCCTCCGGGTGTTTTGGACTTCAACTCCCACAATTCCTAACAGCCTACCGGAGSGCCCAAGTTGGCCCTTGTCTGATATAGATAGATAGCTACTTAAAAATTGCTCTTCATTAACCAGCTGCTGCCTTTCTGTTTCCAAGGTGCTCCAAAGAGTTGAACCAGTGGGAAGCGCTGACCGAGTACGGGCAGTCGAAGGGCCACATCAACCCCTACCTGGTCCTGGAGTGTGCCTGGCGCGTCTCCAACTGGACGGCCGTGAAGGAAGCCCTGGTGCAGGTGAGTGCTCCTCGCCTCCTTCCCTTCCCAATCGTTCAGAATCCGCCCTGTCGCTTGTCTCGACTCCCTTGCAATGGCGCGAGCATCTGGCTTCTCTGGCCATTGAGGCGTTGTTCTCTCCGTTAGGGATTCTTGCGCTTTGTCACAGCTATTTCTTCAAGGGGAAAGAACGCTGATGGAGCATTTGCACACGTAATGCGGACAAACGACTAATCACTCATGTCTTGTTGTCTGGGGAACTTTTACAGCTGAGGAGAGGAAAAAGAGGAAGGCAATGAAGGGTAGAGAAAGGCGCCGTAGTCACCTCAGCACTTGGAACAATAGGAAGAGGTTTAGAGTATTTGCTTTGGGGAAATTTGGTGAAGGCCGAAAAGGAGTTGCATTTTCCATTTGGCCCAATCACGTTGACTTAGGTCCATTTTGCATATTTTCGTGCAGAGGTCCTCAAGCTTTTTAAGCCAAGGGCCGGTTTGCCGTCACTCTAACGGTTGGGGGGCCAGGCTAGGGTGAAATGTTAGGAGAGAATGCTTCTGGAGCATGGCCAAACAGCCCGGAAAACTCACAGCAACCCAGTGATTCCAGCCATGGAAAGCCTTCAACAACACATATGGAACAAATTCCTATGCACACTGCTCAGATCTTATTTGTATTGTGAAAAAAAAATAACATGCAAGGAAAATATTCAAAATGAATTTTTTTTATTTATTTATTTATCGTTTCAGGCGCAACCAGACCATTGTATCACATTTCTAACTGAACAAAGCACACAAACAGACAAAATACAAAATTTGCGAGTTTGGTAGTTGATTAGATGTCCTTTGACCCGTATCTGGCCCCTTGGAGTGCCTCTGGTGTTGCCACAAGAAGGTCCTCCCTTGTGCATCATGTGGCTGAGCTCAGGTTGCATTGCAGCAGGTGGTCAGTGGTTTGGTCTTCTCCGCACTCGCATGCCGAGGATTCCACTTTGTGGCCCCATTTCCGAAGGTTGGCTCTGCATCTCGTGGTGCCAGAGCGCAGTCTGTTCAGTACCTTCCAAGTCGCCCAGTCTTCTGTGTGCCCAGGGGGGAGTCTCTCATTTGGTATCCCCCATGGATTGAGGTTCTGTGTTTGAGCCTGCCACTTTTGGACTCTAGCTTGCTGGGGTGTTCCAGCGAGTGTCTCTGTAGATCTTAGAAAA